GTAAGTAGTTGTACAAAGAGGTTTCCATTCAACATTCAGTTGTTTATGAATACATGTCAATCAATGTCATACCTTTCATCAGTCTCTCCATCTCTCCTAACACTACCGTCCCCTCAATTTATGTATACATTATATATTATGACTGTATTTGGCCACTCTTCCTCTCTGTTCATCTATCCTCCTCCCCCTTGACCTTTACCCCAGCAAAACATCCTGGGTCCTATTGAGGGCCTTTAGTTGCTTACAACATTAGGTTGGAGGAAGGTGCCTTGGGGTACTGACTTTGTGTGCTATTTCATGGGAAATGCTACCACCACACAAACCACCTGTCCCCTCACATACCACTCACATGCTGCTACCACACTTAGAACATTCATTGCTCATTGGGACGTGTATATATACAGATAGTATGCAGTGTGTCTTGATGAAGATCACTCTCTCTCCACCCTCCTATACCCAAAGCAATCTTACTAGGTTTCATTGTTCCATTTTCACAGATGTCCATAAGATATTGAGATCATAGTCAACCTACCTTATCCTCTCTGTTTGTCCTCCCTCATCCCACTAGGTCCACATCCTAGACAGGACCCGTTTCATCTTTATGTATGGGAACTCTAAGGCGTTGACCCTACTTGTGGAAGAATACAACTATCACACCTCTAGCAGCCCTGTTCACATGGATCTCACTCCGTACACAGATGCAGACACACGCGTGCGCGAGCACACCCGCACACACGCACGTGCGAGCGCGCGCGCACACACACACACACACACAGGAGCATCCTATCCTTCTATGAGGAAAAGTGCTAAGGGAGAAAATCTTTCCTCTCCCCTCCCATGGGTCCTATTCCTCCATGTCTGGTTCACTGTGTACCTGTCGATTCGACAGCCACTCACAGAGGACTCACCTAGCTCCATTCCCACTCACCCCCTCCTCCCCTTTTCCTTCCTTCTCCCTCCCCACCAGCACAGAACACATAGAAATGCATATGAGATGATCTGGATGGATTTTGTTTCATTTGTGTCCCCATTGGCATAACATGTGTTGGGACCAGACAGACCACCTGCCAGTTGCCAGGGCAGTGGCGACCTTAGAGATGGTCACAAGGATCAGTCCTGACCTGGCTCTCATGTTAGTGGCTGCCTAGATGGAGTCTAAGGGGATGGATCATTCTTGATCTTCTTGTCCCTTGAAGTCTTGCTTTTACACGGGCGCTTATTAAGGAGGGGACCACTGGTTGGTGCTGGTCCTGTCTCTGTCTTGGACTCGGTTGCATCAGGTCTGTTGGTGCTCATTGCTCTCCACTTTCCACTCTGGCCCTGGCGCCTGAGAGGACCCACCACAGCAGGTGTTGTCCGGGCCTGGAAGGACCACAGGAAGTCCTTAGAAAGCCATTGATGGAGGGGAGGTGGAGGGGACATAGGAACAGGGCATTCACAGGAAGGGGTGAGGGCTGAGACCATTCTGTGCCAGGGGAGGGCAGGGAGGAGCCTCTTGGGCAGAAGGGGTCAAGGGGAATAAGGGTCAGAACTTGTGTGGATCAGCTCACCTTCCCTTTAGACCCACGTGGACACGAGGCCTTCTTCTTGTTCTTCCCACGTTTCTTGAGTGGCCCTCGCAGGAGTGAGGACGCCTCCCGGATAGGGGTGGCAGCAGCCGTTCCCTGTGGGATCTTGGTTCTGGCCATCTTCCTTCCTTCACTGCCTGAAGCCTTCTGACCTCCAGGCCTTGGGACAGGCCTATATATACTCGCCCTCCCTCCCCAGGACAGGTGGCCACGCCCCTAGTCATTGTTAGGTCAACCTGCCACTCCCAGCCAGCCAATCACCGACCAGGGCGGGGCTCCCACATCATAAGCACTATCCTGACCCCCGTGGGGGTGGGATTGGGGGCATATCTAGGGGAAAGAAAGAGAAGATTCTGGAAGGATTTGTTGGGGCAAAGGAGGTATACTTTACTAGTTTTTTGTGTGCTGGTGCTGGAGCTTGAATTCAGGGCCTAGACTGTCTCTGAGCTTCAATACCCAAGGCTAGCTAGCACCCTATGTCTGGAGCCAAAGCTTTTTAGTGGTTAATTGGCGATAATGGTCTTTTGCACTTTCCTCCCTGGGTTGGCCTCAAACCAGGATTTTCACATCTCAGCCTCCCAAGAAGCTAGGAATACTAGGATGCACCACCATCACTACTCCTTTTTCTTTTAAGAACTTTTAAATTGTTACTATGAATGTGATATACACAGGGATTACTGTTTCATAAGTCAGGTAGATTATTTCCTTTTGGACAGTGCTACCCCTTCCCTCATTCTCTCCCAGCTTTCACTTCCCATTCCCAATGACACATTGTGTAGTTCATTTTCAACTAAACTACGACTTTAAAACAAATTATCTTTTAGTAGTTGTGCAAAGGAGTTTAAATTCAACATGTCAGTTTAATGAGTGCAAGGTATCTTAAGCAATGACATCCCTCCACCATTATCCCTCATCTTTCCCAACTCCATCCACCCTCTCAAGGTTCTGGTTCCATTTTACACTTCAAAATCCCAGCTTCCACTCAATGCTTAACTGAGGTATTTTCTTTGCTTGCTAGAAAAGCTAGAAGGGAGGGGAAGGCAGGTAGGACTGTGAATACAGATCAGTACTTGGACAGCAGAACCTGAGAGGGGGTGCAGGACAGATGGACTACATAGGGGTGCACTGGTACTAGGGACCACAGGCCCTTAACTCAGTTTAGTCATGTCTGTGGACAGAAGGCTAGTTTCCCAGGCCTATTTCAGGAAGAGATCAGCCAGAGAGCTGAGCATTCCTGAGATTTCATCTTCCCAGTTTTGCTAGGGGACCTGAGTGGCGGCAATGAACCCTTTTGTGCCTCAAGTTGCTCATTTGTCAAATGAGAGACATGGAATTGGCCATAGATGTAAATACATATGGAAAGCATTAAAGCTGTACCTAAATTGAAAATAATGGAATCCTCCTTGCCGACGTTACTAAGGGTCCTTACTTCCTTTTGGAGCCCAGTGTCAGAGCCCACATGCAAATCTGACATATTCCACAGAGACAGATGGAATCATGGCCATCTCCTTGTCTGGGTTGTTAGATTCCCCTCCGTAGAAATAAAGAAACCACTAAGCATCATCTGGGTCCCTGGAAATTTTTCATTATGTGTGGATTTCTGTTTTCATGATCCAGAGCCATGGTCTGTGTTCAGGGTCCACAGTTATCCCATTCCAGGGTCTCTGGCTTGTTTTGGTTGCAACCCTGGGTATGAGGAAAGCTGGGGCTCCTGTGCTTGCAGACCTGTAACAACCTCCTCTCCTCAGCTTACAGTCTTTATCCCCCTCGCCTCATGGAGAACAGAGAGGCAATGGATGACTTTCTCTTGGGAGTCCTGTCTCTTTGAGCTTGCCTGGGATCTCGTGTGTGTGTGTGTGTGTGTGTGTGTGTGTGTGTGTGTGTGTGTGTGTGTGTGTGTGTGTGTGTGTGTTTGTGTGTGTGTGTCTGACTACAGGATGAAGTCTTCCTCATAAGGACAGTATCTTGGCAGCTGCCAGATTCCTATTTTTCCACAGAATTGAGTTAGCCACACAGCCATTGCTATTCTCAGACTGCAGCTGAGTTAATCAACAGGATATCCTAAGCCTGGTCAAAACACTCATTAGATTTGGTAGACCAGGCTTCCATTTTGAGGGGGCTGAAACTTGAGGTGAGTGAGGTGGACTTGGTGTGAATTTGTGAGGGTCAAGTTCTTTTTGGCAAGCAATGCTTCTGTTGGCCTATCTGCTGGGCTTCACTCTAGACTAACACACAAGTGTCTTCATTCCTAGAACTAGACCTGATTGAATTTAGTGGTCTGTTATTTTACCATCTGAAAAACAAAGATAATAAACTCTTCTTCCTATGTTCTTCATGTCAAATTAGAAATAAACTTAAATAGTCCTCTGTCTGCTTGCCAAGAACAAGAAGTAATGTAAGATGGTGTTTTAGTTTTAGTAAAATACTATTATTTTTTTTGCTGGTCCTGGGTCTTGAACTCACAGGCTAGGTACTGTTCTTGAGCTTTTGTGCTCAATGCTAGTCCTCTACTACTTGAGTCACAACTCCATTTCTGTTAGTGTGTGTGTGTGTGTGTGTGTGTGTGTGTATGTGATGAATTGGAGATAAGAGTCCACAGACGTTCCTGCCCAAGCTGGTTTGGAATGGTGATGCTCAGATCTGAGCCTTGTGAGTAGCTAGGATTACAGGTATGAGTCATTGGTGTCTGGCTGTAAATGTTTTTTAAAAGTCATTTGTTTATCAGGCACCTGGCCTGTAATCCTAGCAACTCAGGAGGCTGAGATCTGAGGATTGTGTTTTGCAGCCAGCCTGGGCAGAAATGTCTGGGTGACATTTATCTCCAGTTCACCACTAAAAAACTGGAAATGGAACTGTGACTCAAGTGATAAAGCACTGAACTTGGGCAAAAAAGCTATAGAACAACACCCAGGCCCTGAGTTCAAACTCTAGGACTGGTACACACATACAAAGAAAGTCACTTGTTCAATAATTTTGGGAACCCCAGAGAAACAATATTAAGTAGGTTTCTTTTCTTAGAGACCACTCATCATTACTATACCAATAAAGCATATGGAAAACCATGAAGAGGATATAGTATACAAGACTTTTCTTGATTATTTTTTAAAGATGGGGGGGTCTCACTATGTAGATCAGGCTGCCCTTGAACTTGTTATCCTCCTGCCTCAGCCTTCTAAATACTTGGATTATAGATGTACCCCCATACCTGTCAACATTCCTTCAGTGTTTCACCAAACCTTTGCAGCAGAGTATTTCTCAAGTTTGATAAGTGTAAGATATACTTTACCCGATGCCAGTGTGGGTCCTTCTTTCTTTAGCTGTGAAAGGCAGTGCCTAGGGTGGCTACAACATAGGTCTGATAAAAGGCGTTGAGGTTCACAGTCTGTCGTAGTGAGCCCTGCTCTGATATATCTCTCCATCTTGTCCCCACAGCTCCCCTTTGAACTGGAGGTTTACTATATTCAGCATGTCATGCTCTATGTGGTGCCCATCTACCTGCTTTGGAAAGGAGGTAAGGCCAGCAAACCACTTCCCTATGGCTCTCTCACACCTCACCTCTGCCTCTGTTTGGAGCACTATAAGTCCTTGTGTGCGTACCAAGAAGTTGAGCTGCTGTGTTGGGTGGGTATCTCCAGCATGCTTGATGTAGACTCCAGCACTGGGGAAATATGGGCATTGATACCAACTGTGAAGAGTCCAGGCACTTTTCAGAACAATCTCTTAGGGATAACCATAATACTGCTGATTGCCTGTCATAAGGCTTTGGCTTTGAGTTCTTGGTGATAACCTGAGGTTTGCATGGTATCCCTTATACTTTGCCAGTCTGTTTTGCCTGTGCCTTCCCCTGCCTTAGTGTACAGTGTGGTGTAGTGACAGTAAAGCACTCAGTTCCTTCAAGAACAAGACCTTGTGTTCTTATTCATTGGCTCTATTATTTCAGACAATAGAGAGGTTAATGGAGGGCTAAGAATTGTGAGGACTGGAGGATTATGGGATTGGGGGAAGAACAAAATGGAAGAGCAGTATCTTCTACATAAAATAATCCACTGCAAACTTGCATTTTGTCAAGAGATAGAGACTACTGAGCTGGTAGAAATAGTCTGGAAAGGTAGCTGATCTGTTTGTGACATCACAATGCCCTGTGAGTTTCCTCTTCTGCCATTAGAGACAAAGAAGGAGAGTTCCTGTGCCTTTTCTGCTTCTTGGAGGGCCTATAAATTGACTACATTCTCTTACAGTCTTTCCTAATAATCATTCTGCCCTGGGACTTTCCTGGGGGACATTTTTTCTAACTCACTCTATGCAGCAAGGTTTCATTTTTTTTTTAAATCTCTCTACAAAATGACATGAAGGTGCCTCAGCCCTGGAACTCACTGGAATACAGTTTGGCTCTTCTGCTTCTGGTTATTCAGAAGATTTGCATCCTGTGCCCTGGTTTCTGTCAGGACTCTTATTGTTTTTGTTTTTATTTTTACTATCTTTTAGTTGTACAAAGGGGTTGCCATTTAACAAAAGTTTATGAATACAATATATCTTGATAAATGTCACCCCTTTCAACATTCTCACCAATCCCTCCCTTACCAACTCTTTCCCTCACTCTTCTTAATCTTGTAGGACATACATTGGATTCTTGACTGCATTCTTTCCCTTTTCTACTCTTCATTTGCCCACCCGTTTCCCCTTGACCCCCACACCACCTTTATAAAGTACCCACTTCCTAGTGTTTTGTTTTGCTTAGCTTTGATTTTGCCTGTCAGGCTTCTTTTCTATAAATGTTTCCAAATGTTCTTTAACACTACTTTTTACCCTTCATGGTCATGGTTGGGGGGGAGCAGTGGGGGCGGGGGAAGAGTGTCTCATGCTGTCAAAGAACACTTTCCTATAATTTGCTCTAAAAGCACGTTTCCCTGAGCTTTAAGGAGAAGCTGACAGTCCAGAATCTGAGAGAGTTGGGCTGTTCCTAGTAATAGTCAGGTCTCCAAGATACACTCATTCTGAATGGACCCAAGTGGCCAGGTTGGTCCCTCCCACTCACCTGTTCCTGGTTTCTGATCTGTGTGATGGGAATTATGGCCAGATCGACATGGCTGTCATTTTAAACCTGTTTCTACTCTGAGGTCACCATAAAAAGCTCTCCAGTAATTGAGCTAGACTGATCTGACATGGAAAATACCAAGTAGCCATCCATCTTCCTCCCCCTCCAAAACTCTCTGGGAAGGAATGCCCTCCAGACAAGGCTGATTCCAGCCTCTAAACACAGCTAATTCCTCAGCAACACTATGCTGGATGGAGGGAAAGGGGCTGAAGAAGTAGGGATTCTGTCTTCTTTTCAAACTATTCCCTGCTCTTAGTGAATATTTCTCCTCCCCCTGCCTGATATAGTGCAAAAATGAAAACCACAGTAAATATCAGTAACTACTTTTTATAGAGAGTATGCTATGTGTGAAATAGGTGTACTAGGCATGATTTGTCTCCTTCACTGTCTCAAATAGCCTGTTGGAAAAATCTTTCTCTACATAGGAGAAAGTCATGGCTTGTGAGTAACAGAGCTGAGTTCAAAGCAAAGGCTAAATTCCTACTCACATCAGTGTCCTTTCACATCTGTGTAATGTCAGGAAGGCCAGACAGCTGTCTCCTAACCATATCAGACCAGGAGTCTTCCCTATCTCCTCATCTACTGCACCAATTAAACCATTCACTCAACATTTACTTGTTGAACAACTCCTGTCTCCTTTGTGCCAGGCATTTGTAGCAATAGGGAATTGGAAAACCAGAAAGACATAGACCTTCCATGAGTATTCTCTGTCTCTTGGGGATGATAAACAATTATAGTGCAGCAGGGTAAGCACTGCAGAGAGTAATGTGGGAGTGAAATATCATTTTTCACAGCCTAATGTTCCTTTTTTTCATTACTATTTGTAGGAAGATAATTGTTTCTTAGAGTAGGTCCTGCTGGTCACCCAGGTTGCCAACTGGTAAGAGGAGAAATAGCAGCAGGAATGAGAGAGATGAGAATATATTACTAATATTACATCCACACCCAAGCTCAGGGGAGGAATTAGCTGGCAGGAAAGGTAGAGTGATCTCATGGAGAGGATCTTTGATTTTAGACCCTGGAGCATACACTATGCCCTAGAACTTGATGGCCCCCATCTTGGTCTATCTGGCCAGCCTAGAGTTATTTTGAGGGTTTATTTCTCTTTCTAGCTCTTTGCTACCATCTAGTGTTCATTTGGAAATGATGAACATAGAGAAAATAATCTAGATTTCTTCCTAAGGCAAATTTGACCTTCAGTTTTAAGCCTTGGATCCTGCCATGAAGTAGTCTGAAGTGAGAGGTAAAAAGATAATTCCCTCATAAACCAAGAAAGTTAATAGTTTGAAAGTTTTATCTTCTAGAAGACTCTTGTCATTTTCCAGAAGCAGATGGCTTCAACAAAGTGTCATAGATATCTCATTGGTCTTCTTGTGTGCCTGTTTATTTCAGCAGCTTGAGTGAGGGAGTGATGCTGAATGGGAGTCCAATCCTTCTTCATTCCCTTGGCCCCTACATGTGACCTCAGGCCATGTGATATCTCTTATCCACACTGTTCTCTTTTTTACCTACCTTGGCTTTTGTTCCCCATCTCTCTTTCCTCCCAACTGTTTGCCTTTGGCTGTGTAGATCTGGGTTTCTCTTATGCATTGTATTATCACATTATTTATTTTTTCATTTTTATTGGATCTGGACAAATTACAGTTTAATTATGTACAGGGAGCATAGCGATATTAGAAAGTAAACAATGTAGAATGATTATTAACAGGCTATATTTCTTGGAAACCACCCTCATCCTCACTAACATGCCAAAAGTCTGCTCCTTCTGTCTTACAGGGTGCCCAGGGCTGTACAGTCTCCTAGACCATTGTTTTGCTTCAATTTCATGGGACAGTGCTTTCTCTTTCACCATTCTCTCTACCACTATTTCTTCTTATCACTGTCACTTGACCTCTTGGTTACTTCTCTGGTACTTCCAGAAGTCTGTGGCCTGTTCTTCTCAGTAGTTCCTTTATAAGTCAACCAGCACCTGTCTTCACTGAGAGACTTGCAGTGAAGCTCTGTAGTCCACCCCTAGCTTCTCAAGGTTCATGCTTCTTCATGGCATTAGCATCAGTACCCTACTCTTCACTCTCCTTGGCCTTATCTTCCCTCAAGATGACTCTACCCAAGATCATAAGCTGCTGTGTCCTTTCCTGGATCCAAATATCCACTCCTTTCAGCTTCCTTTCTACCTTTCCTTTCTTCACAATCAGTTTTTGCCTCTGTGACCAGTTACTGTAACTTTCCTCTCAGTAGCTCCAACTGGAATCAGTGTTTCATCAGTTTGTAATGTACTTACTTTTGGCCTATTTGAAAATCTCTCAAGTCTTTGTGATTAAGGCTGCCACTAAATCTTCATGTCCTCTATTATCAGTATTGTTAATATGACTGATCATTTATTTCTCATCTTTGGTCAACTCCCACATACTTTGCTCTCAAAAGTCAGGTATAAGCCTTTTCTTCACACTTTAAGCTTCCTGGCCACTGCATACAGACTCCCTGTCTTTACTTTTTCTCCCAGTCCTGGGACTTGAACTCAAGGGTTGGGCTCTGTCCTTGACCTTTTATGCTCAAAGCTACTTCTCTACCACTTGAGACACAGCTCCACTTCCTGGGTTTTTTTTTTAGTGGTTAATTGGAGATGAGTTTCACAGACTTTCTTGCTCAGTCTGACTTTGAACTGTGATTCTCAACTCTTAGCCTTCTGATTTGGTAGGATTACAGGCATGAGACACTGGTGCCCAGCTGTCCCCTCTATTCTTAACAAATGACAGGAACTAGCAGTTTTCCCTCAGTACTTCTCTCACCATCTATGAGCTTCTTTACCCACTTATATTTTTAGCTTCCTCCCTTCCACCTTCGAAGAAGTGATGGTGCTCCCATCCAGGACTAAGTTCACCATTCTCAACTCCTTTGGAATCTCCATCCATCACATAGTCTCTTGTTTATTAGCTTTATTCAACTCTCTTCATGACTTCCTTTTCAGACCATAAAGATGTTTCAGTCCTTCCTATTCAAACACTTTTCTCCTAACCCCACACAATGCTGTCTTCCTTTTTTCTCCTCAACCAAATATCTTAAAAGAGCTACCTCCCAAAGTTCAGCTCTTTGAGCAGGATGATTTTTGCCTTCTCTGTGTAGACATCTGTATTATTATGTATGGAATATATTGTAGCTACTCAGGAGGCTAAAGTCTGAGGATCCCTGTTTGAAATCAGCCCAAGCTAAAAAGGTCACAAGACTTTTATCTTCAATTAACCAGCAAAAGGCCAGAAATAGCAGTATGGTAGAACACCCGCCAAAAAGGTAAGCAAGAGCTGAAGGCCTCGAAGTCAAGCCCTAGTACGGGTGTGTGTGCACATGTGCATGCACAAGCACGCACGCAGGCACAAACACACACAACAAATTAGGTTTGTTCTTTAGAGAACCTTGTA